GTGAAGTACGAATGATTTCCTTGTTGACAAAAAATGAAGTAATTATGGTTTGCTTCTTGTTAAAACAGATTTCTTTGTGGTTTGGTATGAAGACAATATGGTGTGGTGTCTTCCAATAATCAATGGATAAGCAATATGATAAATAGAATGCAATAAAAAAACAAATCATAAAAGAAATATTTTTTTGTTTAATTATCAGTAACATATATTATACTTAATTTGAATAGGTGGGTGATACAATAATGTCACTACTACAAATCACTAGACTATATATATATTTTGTTTTTCATTCAAATTTTGACAAATAATGTATTATGTAATGATCTCTCAATGGATCATTTTGGTTTAACTAATACAGATTCCAAATTCCTTTTGAAATCTGTAGTAATCCGTATATTGATTGTGTTACCAAAAATATTTGTAAGTATAAAATCAGAAGTTGATTTAATATATTAACATGTTTAGCAAAAAGAAGTTTATTTAATATACAAACGAAAAAATCAAATTTTATTTTTTTCGCCGACCATTGGGTTGCATTTTGTTTACATTTTGAAAATGAAGGTAGTGCTCGAGTAATTCGAAATTGGAAGGATACCAGCCGGTCCCACAACGGTCCGATCCCCAATACATAGATTCACAACGGTTACTTACCCCATTTTTTTTTCAAATTTGAGAAATTTTGAAACGAAAAAGCTCCTCAAAAAAGTTTCATCTTTCGATCTCAAAGAACCCTAAAATCTTTTGTGCTCGATTCGGGCTCCACTTCAAGATTCGCCTCTGTTTCTGTAAGTGAATCAAACAAAATTATTGGTATTCAATCGTTTGCGAAGAAATTAGAAATATTTTTGTAGATCTCTTGCTCTGGGATTGAGCTTGACTTACATTTCTCGCATTGATTTTGTGTTTGATTCTCAGAAATCGAGGATCGATGATGTCGTTTACTCCCGATGTTTCGAGGAAAAGCGGAGTAGGAGTGATCCCATCTCCTGCTCCGTTTCTAACTCCTCGTCCTGAGAGAAGACGAACTGATACTTTCTCTAGCCGTCTCGAAAGAGACAAAGAGGTTAATGTTCAAGTGCTTCTACGGTGCAGACCACTAAGTGAAGAAGAGCAGAAATCAAATGTGCCTAGTGTCATATCTTGTAATGAACTGAGAAAAGAAGTCAATGTTCTTCACAGTTTTGCTAATAAGCAAGTAGACCGTGTTTTCACTTTCGACAAGGTTCTTCTTTCTTTTATTCTCTTTTGATTTGGTTATAATTTGTATTGAAGTTTTTGGCTTCTTTCTTGGTCTGATGGAATTGAAATGTTTTTATCAAGGTTTTTGGTCCTAAAGCTCAACAACGGTCTATATATGACCAAGCTATTGCGCCTATTGTTCGTGAAGTCTTGGAAGGTTTTAGCTGCACTGTGTTTGCTTATGGGCAAACAGGAACCGGAAAGACTTACACCATGGAAGGCGGTATGAGGAAAAAGGTATAACGAGATTCCTCTTCCGAGTGTCTCATTTCGATTCTCGTGTTTTTGCTTGTCATTTGTTGTTTGGAAATTGATTGTAGGGAGGGGATTTACCTGTGGAGGCCGGGGTGATTCCAAGGGCTGTTAGGCATATTTTCGAGACTCTTGAGGCGCAGAACGCTGATTACAGCATGAAAGTAACATTCTTGGAGCTCTATAATGAAGAAGTTACAGATTTGTTAGCTCAAGATGACTCTGCAAGATCTTCTGAGGATAAGCAGAAGAAGCCTGTTTCTTTGATGGAGGATGGGAAAGGTTGTGTGGTTTTAAGGGGTCTTGAAGAAGAAGTTGTGTACAGTGCTAACGATATATATGCTCTTCTTGAACGAGGCTCATCAAAAAGGCGCACTGCGGATACTTTGTTGAATAAGCGCAGTAGTCGCTCTCATTCGGTGTTTACAATCACAGTCCATATTAAGGAAGAGTCTATGAAAGACGAAGAGCTAATCAAATGTGGCAAGCTTAACCTTGTGGATTTAGCAGGGTCCGAGAATATTTTACGCTCAGGATCTCGGGATGGACGTGCAAGAGAAGCAGGAGAGATAAACAAGAGCTTGCTTACACTAGGCCGCGTGATTAATGCGCTTGTGGAACATTCTTCACATATACCTTACAGGTACTTGCCCTGTCCTACAACTATAGGACTATGTTGGTAAGAATATTTGTGTGGTTGGAGCATAACTTGTGGATATTTGTCTTTACAGGGATAGTAAGTTGACAAGGCTTTTACGGGACTCTCTAGGTGGGAAGACAAAAACTTGTATCATTGCTACAATCTCTCCATCTGCTCATTCCCTAGAAGAAACTTTAAGCACTTTGGATTACGCCTATCGTGCCAAGAACATCAAGAACAAACCCGAGGTTTTGTTTACGCTACCATATCTCAATATTATGTATCAATGTATCCTTTATTTTCATCCAAGTTCTAACTTAACTGGTTTCTGCAGGCAAACCAGAAATTATCTAAAGCTGTGTTGCTTAAAGACCTTTACCTGGAACTTGAGAGAATGAAAGAAGGTTTACACGCATAACATCCTGTCTATATTCTCTAGTGTTGCTTATGTATAGATTCAATGAGCTAGTTGCTTAGTAATGATTGTTGTGCAACTGATGCAGATGTAAGAGCGGCAAGGGATAGAAATGGTATCTACATCGCACAGGAAAGATATGCACAAGAGGAAGCTGAAAAGAAGGTAGGTTCAAAGGAAGAAAGTTAAGCCTATATTCATTTCATGCCCGGTTTAATGATTGTTTTGTTTCAGGCGAGAATTGAGAGGATAGAACAGTTGAAGAATGATTTAAATGTCACTGAAAGTGTAAGTATGCCTCAACTTTTCTCTTCCAGATCTTAGAAACTTAACTAGTTTTCTTCGTTGGAACTTAAGTGGCTTCTCTTACACAGGAACTTTCCAAGTTCTGCGACCTTTACGTAAATGAAAAAGAGAAGTTACTGGATGTAGAAAGTGACCTTAAGGACTGCAAGGTGATAAGAACTTCCAGTGATTTACTTGATTACTCATGCTTTCAATGAGAGTTTTCTTTAATATTTCAAACATTCATGATCCAGAGAAACCTCGATAATAGTAACAAGGAGTTGCTTGATCTCAAAGAGAATTATCTTCAAGTTATCTCAAAGTTAAACGAAAGAGAAGTCATCATCTCAAGAATGAAAGCCTCAGGTAACCATTCTAGCTCATGAAAAAATTAAAAGGCTTTCCTCTTTCTTATGTTTGTTGCTCGATTCGTTGTACCGATATTTTCTTGGACAGGGACGTCTTTGATCGACCGTGCAAAGGGGTGGCGTTCTGATTTGCAGCATGCATCAGACGATATAAGTTCACTGTTCACAAGATTAGGTACTTCTTCTTTCCTATGTCTAGCATTGAAGAGAAGATCTGTCAAGTGCTGATTTTATCTGTTTCTGCAGACCAAAAGGATAATCTGGAATCCGAAAACCATAGCATGCTTCTGAAATTTGGTTCGCAGCTGGATCAAAGCCTTAAAGACTTGCACCGAACAGTTCTTGGATCAGTCTCTCAGCAACAGCAACAATTAAGAACTATGGAAGAACATACCCACTCATTTCTTGCTCATAAATATGATGTAAGAAAAGACTATACTATATGTCACTTCACTGTTTGCTTTTGGCCATTTGATCAAACAAGTGATTGATTTACTCACGCAGGCAACACGTAATCTTGAATCAAGAATTGGGAAAACAGCAGATACTTATACTTCAGGAATAACAGCCTTGAAGGAACTCACTGAAATGCTACAAAAGAAAGCCTCCTCTGATATGGAGAAGATGAACTCATCTATGGCATCACAAATAGAGGCTGTTGAGCAAGTATGAACAAGATAGACTGATGAAACTTCAAGTGTTTCTATTTATTAGCGTTTGTTTAGGTGTTATTCTAACTGCCTTTTTCTTCTCAGTTTCTCACTGCATCAGCAACCGAGGCTACTAAAGTCTCTCAGGACATTGGCGATTCACTTAATGATCAAAAGGAGCTCTTAGCCCTAGCTGCAAGACAACAAGAGCAGGTGCTGTAAAAATCATATGCTAGTTTCTTGTTAGTTCAAATTTATTCCTCTGAAAGACAACTCTGTTTTGAACTTATCCAGGGATTGGTCAGAAGCATGAGATCAGCACAAGAAATTTCCAACGCGGCTTCAACCATATTCAGTAACATCTACAACCAAGCCCACGACGTGGTGGAAGCCATTAGAGCAAGCCAAGCAGAGAAATCAAAACAGCTTGCTGCTTTTGAAATGATGTTTAAGGTGAGTTAAGACAAACTCTTAGAAACTTCAGTTAGATATCTTCTGAGAGGTTCACACCAAACTCATCATCATCTTACTAAAAACAGGAAGAGGCTGAAAGAGAGGAGAAACAAGCCTTAGATGATATCAGTCTGATATTATCAAAGTTAACTTCAAAGAAAACTGCAATGGTGAGTCTTTAATCATTAATCACCCCCTTAGGCTTGAATTTTCATCAGTCGAATCACACTTAAAGTATGATGCTTTACGTGTTTCTAGGTCTCTGATGCATCACGCAGTATCCGAGAACACGACATACAGGAAGAGAAGAGATTACAGGAACAAATGTCTGGTATGCAGCAAGTCTCAATTGGCGCAAAGGAGGAATTGTGTGACTATCTAAAGAAAGCAAAAATCCAGTTCACGGAAAATACAATAGCTTCAGCTGAGTCTATCACAGTCATGGACAATTACCTTGAAGAATGGTACAAATTCCATTTCCCCAATGCTTTTAACTAAAGCCTCTCACTAAGTCCACATTCTAGTTCCTCATACAAACATTATGTGTCTGAATTGCAGCTTAGGAAGGGCCAATGAGTCTAAAAAACTCTGGGAGACCACTGAAACAGGCATAAAGAACCTTAACACGATGTACAAACAAGAACTTGATGTCTCAATGGGGTAAGTTTCTTCGTTATGTATCCGACTTCCTTCTATATTTTTCTTCCACATCATTTCAATTGAATAAACTCTATTTACAGGGACATGTCAAAAGAAAATGTGAAGCTGCATGATGAATTTGCATCCACATTTTCTTCAATGGATGCTAACATTGTTACTCGGACTAATGAACTTCACGCAGCTGTTAATGGTAAGATACCACACTAAAATCTTTGTACCTTGCGTATTCAAGAACCGCTTCAGGGAAAAACGTCCTCCTAATCATTAATTTTACAGACTCGTTGATGCAAGACCGTGAGAACAAAGAAACAACAGACGCCATAGTCGAGACTTGCATGAAGCAGGTCACATTATTGCAAGAGAATCATGGACAAGCCGTATCAACTGTTAGAAACAAAGCAGAACAGTCTCTCATAAAAGACTATCAGGTACTAAATCAATCATAACTGCAACAAAGAAGAACATGGAATCTGAAAGAATTCGATAGTGTGATGTGCAAAAACATATATAGCAGTAACGCTCTTAACTCAATGCCCAGGTTGATCAGCGCAAGAACGAAACGCCAAAGAAACAGGCGATAAACGTGCCAAGCCTAGCTTCGATCGAGGAGATGAGTACTTTGTTTTCGCAGAATGTTCTCGACGAAGTTTACACGAATTTGGAGAAAAGATCAACAAAAGAGGGACAAGAGGAAGCTAACAACAGAACTCCATTCTTAGAAGTAAACATATGATTTTGATTAGACAAAAAGAAAGCTTTAAGCTTTGGCAGTTAAGCTCATTAACTGGATGAGTCTTGAAGAAGAGTGTGTAAAGGTTAATGTTTGTCATGGATTGTATGGTTACGTTGTTACACAAGTGACCCAAGACTTTTTTTGGTTTGCAAGAAAACATGATTAAGTCAAAATAAGCACATTATCTCTCCAATCAATCACTTACTTTGTTTTGAGTACTTTTGACTTGCTACTAATCTGTCAAATACTATTGCTGTCGTCACGATTCCATCACTAATGACGTTCTCCATATTAAAAAATTTAGAGAGAAGATACTTGACTACCTCTTGATCTCTTACCATCTAGATGAACAATATTGTATCTAAAGCTTTAAGTTGGTCCTTAGTGACTTTTTCTCTTCAAAGATATATAGTGATGACCTAACTGATGATTGTTGGGAGAGTTTGAAGACCTAATATTAGTGTGTGTGTGTGTGTTTTACGAATTTTTGTTTTCTTTCTTGAACCATTGACGGCTGTGATTTTCCAATGAATAAGTCTCTATTTCGGTTTGAAATTTATTAAAGAAAACTTATATGGATGGTTAGGTGTTGATATAAAATTAATGACCATGGTTGCAAGTCCATGGGAAACCAAACCAAGTTGCTGGTTTTATTTTGAGTTGTGTACATATGTTGACTATGCTTCTTTGGTTAGATTCACATTTTATAGGTGTAGAAGGTTCTAAGAAGTTAAGGAACTACGTGATGCATTACACGAAAAGACGATATTACCCTTGTTATTCAACCCGCGTGGTGTGCATTTACGTCCGGCCTTCGAAGGGTGTTATTGAAAATGTCAATTTGGTCCTAAGTCAAACAATCAGTGCTGCTTAGTTGTTGTTAGAATATTAGTTTAGACGACTTCTTTTGGTCCAACTACTAGAAAGCGTTTATC